TATTCGTGGTTTAACGTCATAGTAGATTTTTGTGTCGTATTTCTCATATATAAATATAGTCGATAGCACAGGTATTTCTTGCTCGAATATAACTTAGAAAATTATTAAATAAAGTTTGATATATTATTATTTTATGATTTTTTTGAATTTTTGAGCATATTCAATTTATGTGTATAATCCTTTATATACAGCACATATTTCTATCCCTACGTAAGTAACTTAAATCACAATGCAATTTTTAATTTGTTCGGAATACAAGTTATATATATAATATACAGTATATTATATATATATATATATATTTAAAATAGTTGGAATTAGATCTTCTAAAAACAATTGTTTGATGATATCTTTATGTTTTCATATTACTCATGAATGTAATTTTTGTTATTCTCTTTCATTTTTCACTATTATGATTTTTCTTTATATAGGCTGATAATAGAATTTACATAGTTAGTATCGAAACGACGGCAATTCAGTAAGTATTTTTTTAACTGTTTTTTTTTTCATTTATATTTTGTATATTTTGTTCGAAGTACAACACTACATATATATAGGGGGTGTGTATCAGTTTATTGTAATGGTTTGTAATGATTTTGGTAAGTTTAGATTAACCTTTTTTGTTCAATTCATTTTATATATGTACTAAATCATTTTTGTTGTGAATACTTCCAAATAATACCATAAAAATAATTTTCTCTATTTTTTCTAAATACATGTTTCACGCAGGAGTATTAGAATGCTTTGTAGCCTTCTGACTAGAATTGAGCGCTTAATGCCTGATTAAATTAATAATACAAATGTAGATCAACATCCACTTCATTTATTTAACTTTACTTCAAGCACAAAAATATTATTGATCGACTATCCTTATATCTAATCATCACCATCTATAACATCAAAAAATATATATGTGCACCAAACATTTTTTATATTCCCGTCCACATTTCCAGAAATTTTAATTTCCAGTCGATAGCTTCCAACATCATCTGCTGTTAATTTTAAGAATTTTCCAACATCGCCTTCATAAGGAACATGATCGAGTTGATATAAACCTCTCTATAAAAATTATTAAGTTGTAAATTAAATTAATATTTGAAATTGTACCCTTATTGATTTAATATTATTTGCAAAACATGATAGATTTTAATGAAAAATCAACGAGATGGATTTCAGCATGTCATAATATCACAATTTTATTTTTTAAAAATAAATTAGAAACTTTTAATACTTACTGGAGTGAAAGGGCAGTGCAAATGATCTTCAGGCAAATGTTTTATGAGAAAAGTGTAAGGCTTGTCTGGTTCAAAAAGATTAGTACAAATATTGTAAAAATTCTGGTGCAAAAAGAAACGCCATTTGCCTCTTCGTTTCACCTCCACCTTAGCTGCCATCTGGTAAAAATAAATAGACATGACATATTATTTATTTAGAATATGATAAACAGATTATATGGATACCGTAATAGGCTGATCTACTGTTTTTGAAAATCCCATTTTTGTCGTGTAAACTGTTTGTCCCTCGTCATCTTGTTCCCAAACTGGATCTTCAAATATGATGGCCCTGTCTTCGCTAGGACACTCTTCTTGAAGAAATGGTACTGTAATTATCTGTAAAAATATATTTAATAAAAATATTAATAAACTTACTATTGTATATTTCGAGTACATTAATTCATATTATAAGGATAACACAACCTTATATTTCGAGATAGGTATATCTATACAAATTTTTGTTTCTATGTCTAAAGTTTTATAAGCAAAAATATTTAATAAAAAATATTTTGTCATAATATGTTCATAAATAGTTTTATAATAAAATGCAATATTAATATAAATATACAGACCTCGCTATTAATAAAATTTATTAAAATAACTGAAACAGCTAAATTAAAAATGAACTGCAAAGTACTCATAATGCGCAGCTTTTAAAATGATCTTTAGAAATAAACTGCGTTAGTTATTTCCAAGTTCTTATAAAACTCTAATAAAATAATATTAAATTAGATTTATATCATTTTTTCAAACACAAATATTATTTACCAACACGACATTTGGCGTGATAAACACTAGTAACCAGTAATTAACCTATCTGATCTCAATTACATGCTCTTTATTTATGTTTTGTAAAATAACATGAATTTAAATGTATATATTACAGGTAAATATATTCATTAAAAACGTGTATAATTTATGTATGTTATTTTGTTCCCCATATTGTGCAATATTTAAATTACTATTTATATTATATAGTTATATAATTAAATATTTATTTTACTCATCAAATGCATCTATTCTGAATTTTGCTGATATGCAACCTAATTCCTGAATTTTGAAATTGACCAGCCCAGTTCCTGTAATTTTAAATCTGTATAAACCCACATCAGCTTCTGATAATGTGAAAAATTTTGATACATCCCCGTCGAAAGTCATATTCATAGCTTCTACATCCATCTGAAAAAATATTAATACTATAGACTATGTGATATTAATAATATTAACATGAAAGTAATAAATAATACCAATACATTCACATTTTCCCATTAACAATATATTATAATATTTTACAGACATTTCCTTATTTACTCACAAATATTTTAATAATTAATACTTCTATAAAACATATAATTCCAATATTAAATATTAATACTTACCTTTTTTTCTTTGATTAAATTTTATTACATGTAGGCTGTAATGTAATGTGTAAAAATAGATATTCCATTACTCTATTTTTTTGTTGTTAGAACAATGAAATTTAATATTGCATAATAAAATATTTGGAATTCAATATTTAATAAAATATATGAAAAAAAAGACTTTACTTACTGGTCTAAATGGACAAAGAAGTTTTTCTGGGGGAAATTTCGTAGCAGCATGTTCCCAAGGAACTCCTTTCAAATGAAGAACGTTACACATTCCAGGAAATTTGTGATTAGCCAAAAAATTCCATTTGTCTTCTGATTTTTGTTTTTCTACTGATACAACGGCCTAAAAATAAAAAAAGAATAAGATTCTGATTAGATAGATATAGGTAATATAAATAAATTGAATTTAGATAGTTTTTTGGAAATAGCAATATTTCAATTGGGTTATAATCATTAAGAACCAATTATTTGTGAATTTGTTAAAAATCAGTGATAGATTTAGAGTTTTGAATTTTATTTTAAAATGTGGAAGAAGAATTCAAACTACTAGAATGGTTAAAAAAAAAAACAAAAAATAATTTTATGGCTTTCATCTGCTGATGAACCAAACAACTAATAATATATTTTTTACTTTATTTTTATTTTACCACAATTGGTTCTGCAACCACTTCTTTTAGAACAAAGTGTGGAAAATCCATAGCTACGTGATGAGGCCCAATTTTCTTTATTTCGGAATATTCAGAATCAAAAATTCTTGTGTCTGGGTCACAATCTTCAAAATCAAATGGCACGACGTAATACTAAAAATAATTAAAAAACAGTAAACTAAAAGTCAGACTAATTTATCAAAAAACAAATTAATATTTATGATATAATACCATAACATTATATAATAAAAAAGTATATTAAAATACTAATATGTTTTATAGATTTATTGTACATTTTCTTTAAATATTATTGTACATTTTCTATATGCATGGTTTATTCAATTTTGCATCCAATTTTTATTAAATTTATAATAAATATATTTTGGTATAAAATGATGTTTTTTAATGTTATATCCTGATTCAATATTGTATGTATTCCTGAATAAATTTATTTTTTCACCTTTTTTTCACTGTTAACAAAGACTAAAAATACTGACAACAACACAATCAAATATATATTTACACAATGCCAATACGGTTTTCCCATTTTGTTCTAAAAGAAATATCAATTACAGAAAATTAAGTGCGAATGAAAATGTTTAAAGTCCGAAGCTTTTATAAATATGAGAAAAATTAATTACATTGTATAAATTAACATATATGTTTCAAATTTGAATATTTATTACAAACCATGATTATCTTAATAATATTAATTTATCATTTTCATTATAGCAAGAAAGTGAATCGGTAGAGATAATATTTATCAAACATTGTAAATAATATTACGTTAGACGTACGTGTTGCAGTATAAAAACCTAAAATTATTTATCATAATAATTAAAAATTAAATTGTATTTATTACAATTCTAAAAATGATGGTTTTGAATATACATTGTATTTTAATTACAATTTTATTTAATTAATATTTTGTTTTAATGCTTCATTTTATGGATTTCCAGAAACCCTATAAATACAATTGTGCCATATTTGATTAAAAATTTAGTTTATGAGAAAATTTTCAACTAACGTTATGAGCAGTTACAAGTAATTTATTTAAAATTTGAACCTGACTAGTCAGCTATTTTAGTGATAATAAATTAATGAATATAATGAGGAAATTCAATATTAGGCAATACCAAGCAATATTTTCGTTTTAAGGATATATTAACAGTTAAATTAAAAAAAAAATGGTAAAGCAAATTAGCAATATCTTATATGAGGTATAAGTATAATTAATTATATTAATTTTAATATTGATAATTTTATTGAAAATAGTGTAAAAATTCCATAGCATAAAAAGCAAGCCAGTTTAATAATATCTCAATAATGTATATGTAAATAATATATTATTAACATACTTTATACGTAATTTCAGAATTATTTTTTTATAGGCCGCAAACGTTTTATTATAATAAAATTTGAGTTGCAATCAAAGTATTATAAAAAGTAATTTCTCAAAAAAACATTGGTGTCGGTGTCAAACGATTCAGAATGACATACAGAATATGAAATTAGCCTTGCGAAAACATAAACTTCTTCTTCGAGAAGTTAATGAAATCACATCATTGTGTAGATTATAACAAATTTATTTATTTAAAAAAGGTACAATGCAAGTGGCAATTATAGTATCATATATTCATTTACTTTGAGAAGTCCAGAAATCTTCAGCAAGTCCATCAACGTAAAAATCTTTGGCATCATTTTTTTATTTATTCATCAAATCCTTCAATAGTAAATTTGCCAGAAAGACAACCTAATGGAGTTTCTTTTCTCATATCAACAGATCCGACTCCAGTTATTTGAAGTCTATAGAGACCAACGTCGTCTTCACCCAAATCCAATACTTTTGAGACATCACCATTGAAAGTTACATTATTGATTGCCTCATCCATCTGATAAATTATCAGAAATAAAATTTAATAATTCAAATATACTAGATTATAGAATAATAAAATTTTAAAAGATTAAAATATATCTAAGTGATCTAAAAATGCCAGTATACAAAATATTAAAATGTAATTTCTAAAATTCTTTATACTTACAGGTTTAAAAGGGCAAACCATCTTCCCTTCTGGAAAACTCTCAACCAACTCTGTCCAAGGTTGCTCTTTGTCTTGCAGTACTCCACAAATTCCAGGAAAATCTTTTTTAATGAAAAAGTTCCATTTATCATCAGATTTGTGTTTTTCGACGACGGCCGTCACCTACACCAGGAAAAAATATAATAAGTTCCATCAAATCTGAGTAAGTTATAATATTTTTTAATTATAAATAAATCATTTTCGTACTTTGATAGGTTCTTGAATAACTTTAGTTAGAACAAAATGCGGAAAGTTGATGGCTACATGATGTGGTCCTACTTTTTCCAGAGTTTTTTGATATTCTGAATTGAATATTTTTATACTTGGATCACAGTCGCCAATTTCTTGCGGAATTACATAGTACTGAAAATATAATACAAAATAAAAAAAAATGCATTGAATTTTTTTTACCCAAAACCTTACTTTTTTATCGCCCTTAACCAAAACTGCTACAGATAATATGGTTAATATTATAAACCCCTTCATTTTATATCCCAGCCCTAAAAATTGATGTTAATACATCAAATTATAAAATGTAAATTAAATCACAATTTTCAAACAACTGATTTTATACTTGCTTATGAAGGACAACTAATTATTTGCTGCTTATTGTATTTACATTAATACATGATTTCACAATGATAATATACACGATTTTCCATTGAAAATGAATTATTTGTGTTTCTAACTTAATATTTTGGAGCCCAACAATAACATATGTTTTAGTACGATGTATTTAAAATATATGTACATTTATCTTCGGCAAAAGCAAAGCATTGTACCAAACTACCTCGATTGGATTTTTAATGTAAAATATATATCATTACATAATGATATTATGTATATAATTTAGTAAATTATTTAGTTGTCAAGTTTATTAACATTTATTAGCGATATTGTTTTTGTTATATGTGGAATTTTGTACACTCAATAATAAATTATTCCTAGTGGTGACATAACATTATACGAAACGTCTGCCAAAATTTATGTTTTTAATCATGTAACTACTCTGAAGACACTTTACACATTCTCAACATTATATTAAAAAATTACATTATATAAACTTTTACAGTTTAAATGTTGAGAAAAATATTTCATTTGATGAATTATTTGTCATCCACATTATTGAACAGATTCTATATATTCTATAGAGAAAATAATTATTACTAAATATCCTGAGAGAAATCGTTTTAACAAAGTTTTACTACTTTCGTAATATTTAATAATAGAAATATAAATATCATAAGAAATTCAGCCAAAGAATCGAAAAGCTTGCAATAGGAAATTATACAATAATAAATTCTTATGATGATATGACCATTTATAAATAGTACTAAGTTCTGAAGTCAGAAAATCTCAAAGATAAAAATAATTTTAATATTAAAATAACTTTTTACTGACGTATGCGGTCAGAAAATCTGAAACTAGAATAATCTAAATATTGTTTTAGTAACATTTATAAATATATTTTTTAATTTTAAATATTAATTAATTTTAAATATTCTTTGTAAATTTTAGAAATATAATATTCAATAATATTTCTCCAAAGAATGAAATAATTAAAATAAATTAAAATCAAAATGTTTCTATAGAAATATATAAAAAACATTAAAAAATGTTTATACTTGAATGAAATATAATTATTATATATTGATTTTTTTATTTCAAATATATTATTTATATTTTATCTAGAAATTCTATCAGCGCACCTAAAACATTCTTTGGATCAAAATATTAAATCAAAATTTTTGATGAATTAATTTTGCAAATACTACATAAAATTGTGGGTTTATAATCAGAACAATTTTAATTTAATTTCAAATGTATATAAATATCAAAGAAATTTGAAAGAAATAAAAATAAATCTCATATCAATTATAAATAGGCCAACCGTTGAGGTGCCGTTTAAATGGCGATGTTCTTAAAAAAAATTCAGCACAACGGCTCATAGAACTGTTCAAAATTACGAAAAAGAAAATTTAAATTCCAAAATAAACAAAAACTTCTAATAAAACATTTTTCACGCTATTCATGATATTTATGTTGATACCGTATGTATTGATAAATTGGATTCACTACGTTTAATTTAAATTAACATAAGTCTATGCAGAATAAAAATGAATCACCTTTATTTTTATAAATCATAAAGATGCAAATACAATTATGTTGTTTTAAGAAAACCAAAAAACAATGGACATCTTCAAGTTAATGTTGAATTTCTATTCATCAAATCCTTCAACAGTAAATTTTGCAGTCATGCATCCAAGAGGCGTTCTAGGATTTAATCCTACTGCACCGGTGCCAATAAGTCTAACTCTATAAACTCCTGCATGATCTTCGCTTAAATCAAAAATATTTGAAATATCGCCATCAAACTCAAAACTTATCGGTATGTCCATCTGAAAATTGAAAAATACTTCAGTTTCAATTTTCATCAATTTCAGTAATATATTTACTCACAGGTTGAAATGGGCAAATCAATTTCTCCGGAGGAAAGCTATCAACCACTACTGTCCAAGGCACATTCTTCATTCCAATCATACTGCATATGGCAGCGAAATCTTTTTTAAGGAAAAAACTCCATTTTCCATTAGAAGATTGTTTTTCCAAAACAACTTCGATCTGAAAATTGATATTGAAAGTAGATTGATTGACAATCATTATTAGTTTCTCACATATCCTTGGTACTTACACCTTTTAAATCTGTTCTTGGGCCAATTGGTATAAATTATTACTTATAATAAATTAATAATTATAAAATAAATTATAATTTATTAACTTTCTGAAGAAAAAGTTTCGATGTGCTATTTTAGATTTTCTAGACGTTACAAGTAAAATTAGAATAACTATAAAGTTTATGTTAAAACGGCTGCACCGATTTAAGAATTTCAAAAGCAATTTGATGAAACTCCGTTAATAATTTATAATTAGAAAACTCGTGAAAAAATTTTCATTAAAGTTTTCTCCAAAAATACTGAACCGATTTTGAAAATTCAAAAACTTATCGTTAGATATTAGAGTTGGGAATCGTGCTAAATAGTTTTTGGTGCAAATTTTTCTAGCTTTAATTATTAAAAAAATCAATTATTTTACAAACTATATAATATTCAAACACATCTATTAATACGGGCATTTTTAACGAACAAGTATATTTTTACCTGAATAGGTTCTGAAATCATTTTCGTTAAGACCAAGTGGGTAAAATTGAATGCGACATGATGGGGTCCAATTTTCTCTATAGGCAAATATTCGGAATTGAAGATTCGAATATTTTCATCACAATCTTCCAAATCGAATGGAGTAACATAAAACTACAAAATAAATTCTAATTGATTACTTGTTCTTATATCATTTATTATTAAAATATACAACCTTTTGCGAACCTTTCACAAGCGCCAAAAAACACAAAAAAATCGGAAGAATAATATAGCACTTATTCATTTTGAAAAAATTTTTTTTAGTAATTTTGACTGAGTAGACTCTTAGTCTAATAATTAATATACGAAATGAAAACTTCATATGTTCTCCGCCTTAATATAAGAGCTGTGAAGAGGAAATCATGGAAAATTGTGCAACTGTAACTATGTAGTTGCATGATTTTTCATAAAACTTTGTAGGCTATTGTCCTAAATTTATCATCAAAACTATCAGGGAAAATGTAATTACAATAATTATATGTAATTACATTTAATGAAAAACTATACTGCATTACATCAGCCAAAAAATTTGGTTTAAAAAACGTGATATTTTAATTACAATTAAAGACCTAATTTGTTGGATGATGTAATGTAGTATAATTTCACAAGCTTTTGTGCTAACAACGGGTGATAAAGTTTATCAGCCAAAATAATTTTAAACATATAATTTTTATATAATTTACTTTATTACATTGTATGTTTATACTATCATTACATCTTATTTTTTGCAAATCAATATAAGAATAAATTTTTATTCAAGCAGACAAATATATAATATATAATTTTACCTAATATTAAACCAACCCACAAATATTTGGTGAAATTACAAAAATAACTACCCAAATGATGAGGTGAAGAATGTATTTTTGTTTATTTTTGAGTCATTTATATGTAGAGTGATTTAATTTATAGCAAATAGAACAAATTATATAAAGAAACATAATATTTAAAATAAAAATATGAATTACTATAAATAAAATTTGAATAATATTTTTAATATAAAGCAAAAAAATATTGCTACTTTAATAGCATGAAAATATATCTAGAAATATTATTTAAAATAATATATTCATTATGAATGATTTTTTTGTGGTTCTATAAAAAAAAGAGTATGCATTCAACTTTTTGCCTTAAAAGCATGCATTTTTGGCAAATTTTCATAATTATCGAAAAATATTATATTCGTTACAGGACATTAAAATGCTGTTTAAATCCAGTATAAAATTCAAATGCATTGCAACAATTATCTACACTAAGCATGTTTTCTCATTGAACAATTTATTTAAAAACAATTTTTATTATAACTAGATCTAATTGTTCCACACATGTAAACAATCAATTATTGACAATTATGTGTTTTCTATTGCTTTATAATTTGATATAATATTTTTGAATATGAATCGAAACAAGATAACTGGTTTGCTATTAAAATTTCATTACTATTAATTGTACCAATAAACAAAAAATATATTAATTTTAAACACATTCTTCAAAATTGAAGTTTCATAACATAGCTTCTTATAACCATATAATTTTCTACACATAATGATTATTTTATTTATTCACGATATACAACAATTGCTTTTTTCTTGAGTGTTACCGTCTGCTTTTTCTATCTCGACTAACAAAGCATGGAATATTTCAGCTACTGACTGAAATATAAAATTAATATTTAAAATATAAGTGATTCTTTATTAAAGAATAAAGTGAATATTAACATGCAATTTCAGATAATATTTTGATTATTATTACCTCATTTTGTTTGGCAGATGTTTCTAAAAATGCGGCTTTCCAACTATCAGCTAATCGTTTACCTTCATCTGCACTTATCATTCGTTCCATATGTAAATCAGTTTTGTTACCTACTAACACTACAGGTACTCTAAAAATTTAATCAAAATAAATAAAATCTATACTCCAAATTTAATTCAATTCACAGTGTGTTAACTTACTGAACTTTACCCATTACATCTAACAATTTATCATATATTATTTGGACCACTTCAAAAGACTTTGAGCTAGTTATAGAGTAAACAAGAACATAACCATGAAAATCCATAGCATATTGTGCGGGAAAAATGCTATACTCATCTTGGCCTGCTGTGTCTACTAATTTTACTTCATAATCGGTAGAATTTACTCTTGTGGTCTTAGTGAATGCTGGAACGAACAGTCAAAAAGTCAAATAGGAAATGATGAATATGTTAATATTTTCATCAGTTATTTGACCACTTTGTTAGCGAACCAGAATCAATGGATATCTGAAGAATTGTGGATGTTGTACATGAATAAAAACAGCAAACAGATGTTTATTAATGATTTATTGCAGTATGAATAGTGAAAAAATCTTATCAAGGATATATTTAATAAATAAAATGAATCACAGAAGTAACACAATGCAAAATTAGCAAATAAAACATATTAGAGAATTTATCAATTAAAAATTATTCAAGAATTTGCCAAAACAAGTATTATTAAACCTAACAAACAACGTACCACTATATAAAACTATAAAGTAGAAAATTTCATCCTAATACATAAAAAAAACATCATTGAAACACAATATTTTAGATCATGAAACGAGATATGTGGAATACTAAAAAACCTGCAAAAGGAAAAGCTTGTTCCTGCTCAGAAGAACAAGCTATAAAAGAATTAACTAATTCAAAATTAAAGTAGGGGAGCTGGGCACTATCTGTAATAGGGGTAACTAGTAACAAGCTTTTTTTTATAGGATCTTGAACGATATTAAAATATTTTTTTTGTTTCGTTTAGACATGTATACCGACCTGCATAATATTGTCACAACTACTAATGCAATATACAGAACTGTGCAGTTGCGTCATTTTTTACATTCAATATAAAATTGATTTGTTATAAAACCTAGATTTTTCGTTATTATCATTCACTAATTTTAAATTTACTATTATCTGATTTTGTGTCTAATGATAATGTGTAACAACTTTTGTGATTGCTTAATTGTATGAAAAGTTATATTCATTATTGGAAAAATATAACACCTGGGTTTAGTTGAAACAAAACCTTGGGGCTAGTTGTAACATACAAGATTTATAAACAGATTCAAGCCGAAAAGATTAAATGGAATGAACACTCTGTAAGATATCTTTTATTTGTGTTATGATGTTAATTGTAATTGAATAATTATGAGACAATATATATATATATATATATATATATATATATATATATATATGGCAGTCGAGTCTGGATGCTCGGTATGGGCGTGTTTCTCGCTTCACAATTATGCATTTCATAACTTTTAGTCAATCTAGTTTTCAAATCTTTTAGTTATACATAATTTTTTCTAAAAAAATGTTTTTCTCTAATATGTTATTAAGTTTAATTTTTTAAAAATAAATTTTTGTTGAGTGTTTTTGTCCTGTGTTGCTGAATGATGACACGCATCTTGTGTCAAAACGTATAAATAAAAGTTTTTATACATTATACCTTTTTTATTTCGACGAATGGGCTGCTAGTTACTTTGAAATATATATATATATATATATATATATATATATTATTTGTATAAATAATAGTTTGCATTCATATATGAAAGGAATTACTTAGAAACAAGTCAATTTTCTTAAAATTGAGTAAACAATAAATTATTATAGGTATTATTTCAGTTTTTATGTTATTACTTCTTGACTCAGTAAATGTAACAACTAGTCTCAAAGATGAGATAAGTTGTAACACCCCACTTTTTTTAAAAATTTATTAAGTATGAAATAATGAACAACAGTTGTGAAATTATTTTCACTTGATTCGAGAAATAGTCATAGCAACTAGAAATCTTGATTTCATAGAAATATAATCAATGGATCTCTAGATATATGGATTAAAAAAAAAACTGTTATAACAAGCCTGTGGCTTCTGTAAATAAATATGTTATAAGATGTCTGTACAGAGATTAACAAACTTAATTTTATTTTTATATAGATTACTGATATGGTTATCCTTTTTATAATGTATATTATGAGTATAAGTGTATGTTTTTATATTTCTATATATATAACAATTGTTAAATAGAATAGAGAATCAACTGTGATGAACTATTTGAAAAAAATTTACAGTGATCCCTTAAATCAAACAATTCGTCTGATTGAAATACAGTATTTAGAAACTGTATATTTTTATAAATGAAAATGAAAAGTTGCTATAATTTTTAAAAGATAGTTTTACATATGAAGCAATTATATTTAAGCTAAGTAATATATATTTTCAATAAGAGTATATGTGAAACAAAAAGTCATTATAAGAATGAATATATTACTCATTTGTATCAAGAACAACATGCAATCAACTGACCATGAAAAGTTTTACTCACTATTTTCAATAGTTGGATCGTAAGAATCAACAAATTGTCCTTCAACAAATTGAATACTCAAGGAAGATTTACCTAAAAGCAATATAACATAAAATAACACCATCTAAAAGATATTTAATACGCATTAGTTTTATCCAAGTCGTCACTGACCCACTGATCTGTAACCCATCATAGCAATTCTTCTTTCTTTAGGAGGCATTTTTTGGCAAGAAAACTAACTTTATTACATGCACAAATACATAAGCTAAAAATTTACAGTCACTAAATTATGCTGCAATATGCGAATTAACTGATTATGAAAAAAATCTAATGCACGACCTACGAACTATCAAAGTAAAATCAACCAAAATAAAACATTAGATGCAATTGTACCACATGCAAGAAACATGACTCGAACTGTCAAAATGTTGAAATAAAAATTAAAATGCTATTAAAATAAAAAACTAGATTGTTATGTTATAAACACTTTTTGCAATTAAAAAGAATATTGAATGTAATATAATATTATCGATGGGTTTTATAAATATTATAAGTTCAATAAATATTTTGCACCTGTCAGTTGTAAGTTGTCAATACTGATTTGACATTTCTATTTGTTGACAAACGTTTAGTGAAAATAATAATACTTTATTAAAATATAATCCAAAATATAAAATATAATTCAAACAAATGTTTATTTTATTGTGTTTAAAGAAAAATAATATATTTAAACAAATCTAACAGCAATGAGTCTCTCGAAATTAAAAATCAGGTTTTTATTTAACGATTTGACATCACAAACTTAGGCAGCTTTTAACCAACAATATTTATAAACTAAACGCATATAATACTTATGTTTTAATATTTGTATGAACTTATTCAACATAATGAATATACAATATAATTTAGATAAAATCTGTCGCATTTGTATGTGCGAGGCAAATAATATGAAAAAGATCTTTGGGCCCGTAGAAAATATATCAAAAATACTTATGTTTTGTTCATCTATAAATGTATGTATCCTAAAGTTGTGATTTTTACTTTTATTTCTACTGATTTTTAATATTTTGTAGGTCAATGAAAATGATGAGCTTCCAAAACAAATTTGTGTACAGTGTGTTAATCAAGCAAATAATGCAAGCAATTTTAAGCAACTTTGTGAACAATCGGATAGTGTTCTTCGAACTTATATAAAATTTAAACATAGTTTTCCTGATAATCTTAAGCAAGAAAAAGTGATATATGAAGTCCATGATTTGTTTCAATCGAATATCCAAGATAATGCAAACACGTTAGCAAATAAGTAAGTTCTAGTTTCTGCTAATACTTTTAAACTAGTACATACATTGATTCGATATTAATTATATATATATATATATATATATATATATATATATATACATATAATTGTTATCATAGGCTGTTTGATGAAACTAGTTTAGAACAACAAATGGTTATTTACGAAAAACAAGTGTTTGCTTGTGATCTTTGTTGTGAAGGTTTCCTTCATGCTACAAGCCTAGAAAAACATAAAGGTGAATACTTTATATATTGCATATAATTTACATATACTCATTTATTAAATAACATATGTTTTGTTCCATTTTTTTAGAGTTACATAGTAAAAATGATACTTATGCGTGCAAGGTTTGTAATTGTTTCTTTTTGAATCAGGAAACACTTTTAGTTCATAAAAATACTCATCATAAAAATATAATGACTCAGGACATTTTATCAGAAATTTCTGATGATGTTAAACCTTTATTAAATGCAATTAAAGAAGAAAAGCATGACAACTCTGTTGATTCATTTTCTCCAGAAAATGGTAAACGAAGAAGAGGTCGTCCAAAACAGGTATTTGAAACAACACTTATTTTTTCTTTAATGAATTCACAATATTTAGTTCATTGGTATGTGAACTTGAATATTTCTTGAACGCATAGTTTAAATAATATGTAACAATATTATTTCCAGTCACAAGGGCAAAAAGTTAGTCATCAATGCACAATCTGTATGGAATTTTTTGATAAAAAGCTACAATTAAAGAGACATACTATGTCTGCTCATCGAGATAAGCTTGTAACAGTCGAGTAAAACATCTCACCTTATATTTAATTCAATTTATTTATTTATTTAATTATTTAATCATTAATTAATCATTAATATTGTTTAGATTGCATCAATGTTCAGAATGTGAGAAAACATTTTCAAAAGTTGAATTACTAAAGAGGCACATGAAGCAACATTCAGTTCAAAATTATTCATGTGATGATTGTCCTAAAACATTTAATAAGTAAGTTAATTGTTTATATTTGATTTAAATACTGAATGGTTATGTATACATCTTGTGTATTTTTAAAGATTAGAAAAGTTGACTGAGCATAAAAAACGGCATACTGGTGAAAGATCCCACTTATGCAGCAAATGTGGAAAAGGATACTATAAGCAGCCACATTTGGATAAACATATGCTTTCACATCTAAAGGATCATTTGGAAAAACCAGTAAGGAAAAAATACCATATTTACTATAATTTATAAATACTACAATTACTAAACTTTTAAATACTGGTATTGTAATTACCATAATTATAAGTGCACATATGCTTTATTCATTCATACAATATTTATAAAATAAACTAGCTGTCCCCGTTCACACTTTGCCGAGATTTAGTTTAATTTAAAAAGTTGAACAAAGATGTGTATTTGTTACATTTAGTTTAACGTTACTACTATCTGTTCAACAATTTACCTATTCAACAATTTGTCTAAGAATTTACCTATAAACTTGTTAATCAATCTACCATTTTACCAAATTACCAATTTACTTGTCAACCTATTTACTTATCAACCCGTTTCACATGTCTACCAATTTACTTGGCAACCTGTTTATTGGTCTTGTTATTTGTTTATCTACCAGTTGTCCTATCTAACATTTTACATATTCTCGAATTTACCAGACCACCAGCTATTCAACCAATTACCTTTTCATCAATTTACGTGTCTGCCATTTCACTTGTCTACCAATTTACCTATCGACCTGTTTATCAATACACCATTTTAACTGTCAACCAATTTACCTGCTTTCCAATTTACCTGTCATCCTGTTCTAAATATCTACCAATTAACCTGTTCAATAATTTACCTGTTGAACAATTAACCCGTTTAATAATTTGTCTACTAATTTACCTATCAACCCGTTTATCAATCTACCATTTTACAGGCCTACAAATTTACCTCACATCCCATTCCACATGTCTACCAATTTACCTGTCAACCAGTTTACCTTTATAAATTCTCTAATTCACCTTATTTATTTAAGCATTATAAAAAAATTAAATCTCGAATCGATTCTACATTTTAGTTAGAAAACGTTTGTATGTGAAAAAGAAAAGAGCTGTTTTTTATTGTTTTTCCGGCAGGTATTCGATTATTTCTCGCCGTAAGAACCATCCTTGGACTTCATTCATTTTTATATATAAGATTGTTTATTATGCAAGTTTAATATGAAATATTTGTAGGTGTATCAGTGTACATATTGTGGTAAAAAGCTAAATCATTCAAATCACTTGCAAGTACATATGAGAACACATCGAGATCGATATGGACAGCCTTTATTGCCACAGCCACCAAATCCTAATAAAAAGGTAAAATTTTATCACATATTTTCATAATAAGTAATATTCATATTACTTATAATTTTTCATATTTTTATTCCATATTATATTATTTATATTTCATTACACATTAATTTGATCAGTATTTATTATATCATTTATCAGAATACATTATACAGTATTTATTAATAATGTATATATTTATCAATGAATTGTTTTTGAGATTCATAGATAATAATTTATATATGAACTTTATTTAATATCTAAAGTATTTTGGACTTATTAATATAATTAATTTGTTCTTAGGTAATATTATGCAGTGTTTGTGGTAAAAGTTGCAGTTCAAGAAGTAATTTAGCCGTCCATATGCGGAGACATACTGGTCAAATGACAAATTTTTGCAAAATCTGTGGTAAAGGTTATCCAAGAACTACAGATCTTACATTGCATATGAGGTATAGAAATAATTATGCAAATATATACTTTTTTATAAAGTTTATATGAAACAAATGTGGTACTCGAAATACTATCTTGTTCTTGCTTATATTTACAATATTTGGTCATTAAGTTTCTATTACCAGCAGATTACTACTTTTATTTGTTTGATTATTTAAATACATAAAAACTAATATGCTTGATTAGTAGATTTTATGAATTCTTTAAAATGCTATGGATTTCACTTTACTACATTTTATCTATAACAATAAGTTGAGAATGTGTAATTATAAATTTATGTATTTAATTAATTTTTAGATAGTTCTTTATCATGTTGTAGAAAGCCATTTATAGTCATTCATCTTTTTCCAGAAAACATACAGGAGAAAAACCATTTGTATGCAGTGTTTGTAACAGAGGATTTGCACGATCTGATAAGTTAGCTATACATATGAGGACACATACAGGTGAAAAGCCCTACGCTTGTATGGTTTGTGGTAGAGCATTTGCCCAAAGTAATGATTTAGCATCTCATAAACGGAGAAATATGTGTGGACAGAGTCTTGCTGCCAACCAAAATCTTATCATTCAAAGTTCTGCTAACACACCTGGACAAACTGGTTCACAGACAAGTCAGGCTAGAGCTGCTGATTTGGTTTCTGAAGTTGTTCAAGGGTATTTGAATTATGAATTTCTTTATTATATAATTTTATAAGCAATTTTATAAATGATTAATAATTTATTCATTTTCATAAGAAATGTCATGTATATAATCAATATTATCTACTGGATTCAGCTGTATAATATAACATGAAATAATATGTATTTGAATAGATTAAAAAAAACTTTTAAACAAATATATATATTTTTTTTATTAATTTTTAGGGTTCCAGAGCTGGCGCTTCATCCCCGAACAATTGAATTAGCACAAGGAAATGTACATAGTCGAATTGAATATACAGATTATACTACTGCAACATTACTACAAAATTTTTCCAATGGCCATTTTATGCGATAAATATAATTTATTGTAGTTACTACAAAAGTAGATGATAAATCAACTAAATTTTAAGATCAATGATAGAGTAGTTTTTAATTTTTCAAATATAAACTATATTTATTAACATATGGTTTTATTTCTGAACAAAATACTTCTAAAGTGAAGGGAAGTGGTAGTAAGATTTTGCAAAGAGAGATCTTGCCGTTTCCTAAATACAGAGCAAAATGTGCGAAAAATAACAGTTTTTCAGAGCCAAAAAATCTTTTGTTTGTACTGACGAAACGATTGTTTTTGAGGAGAGCAAAATCATTTCATTTTTTTTTTTTTAAAGCCTTGACAATAAATAATCGACGGAAGGAAGAGAGAGAGTTTTTTGTGGTCCAATCATAGATAAGTAGGTCCAATTACATTCCTTCCATTATTGTCTAGGATTCCATAAACAGGGTATTCTAATATTGTCTAGGCTAGGATTCCTTCTTGCTAAGGGTTGCAAGATTTGATACATGATATTTTAGTAGTATTGCCATAGATAAAAGAAGAGTATTGCAGACTTGCAACCGTTAGTTGCATACTTCACGTTGTTGCTCAAGTGTCATGGTGTCATGTGTCATGCGACCGCTATGAAGTCTGAATCGCATCAATTGACAGTTCCATAGATAAAAGAAGAGTATACAGTTGTATGCATTTAATCCATAGATAGCATTGCTTGCATATTTTCTGTTTTAGACGTTACTTCATTGCGCTGCCGACTATTGCGTTCAAATTATTTTAACCCAACAAGTGGCAGGTTGTGACATTTTGCTCCTTAGAAAGCAAAGCATTTTGAGTAAAAGCAGTTTAGTTTTTAGTTTTTACTTATTTCATATCTACAATCGGTTTAAGCATGCCTAAATTTAAACCAAACGCATACGGCGAATTTGTTTCGGAATTTAGAAAAGCCAAAGCATTGGAAAATATTTCTTACCCCACGTTTGACGCCGCTGCAAAAGACGCTGCACCTATTTGGGAGGTAACCTGTCATATTCAATTTATAAACAACATAATTTGATATAGTTTAAGCTTATCTTTAAATTAATATCTTAGACCATGTCAGCATCCGAAAAAGAAAAGTATAAGCATATGGCACAGAGACATAGGCAACAACTGGAATCGAATGTCTCTGTCAATAATAATAACTCGATTTATAACAAAGGCAACAGTACTGTTTCCTCAAAGAAAACTTGTCAAGGAAAGCTTTTGGCAGAGGTAGATTTTAAGGAACAGCGAATACAGGAGTTTATTAAAAAGAAAAAGCTGTATACCCAGAATTTAATCAGATCTTCACCAGGTATACGAATTAGAGTTTACTAATTATAAGTGGGGGCTAAAACTTATTTCTTTGATTCTGTTTTCGGTTTTCATCATATAATATGCATTTGCAATATGTAGGTCTAATTATTTAACTGACTGAAAGTTGAGCGCATTCAGTTCTATGGCAGTACCTATTTATGAATTACATAATATCTTAATATTTAATTCTATAGGGATGTATTTAACTTCCACAAACTTGATCAGTCATATTTTGAATTTAGTTTCTTTTACTGCTCTAGCACAACTAGTTTTCAATATAATACTCTTTTATTCCTATAACAGTGCTTATAAATTGTGTATTATCATACTATTTGATTCTATAATATTAAACATACTAAAAATATTGAACATACTATATTGAATTTAATTTTTATTACAGCTCCTGCGCAATTAGTTTTCAACATAATGCACACAGTTACATATATTGTTGATGAAAACCAATATTATCATGCAGAAGTGGCTCTAGTCAAATTCAATCTGAACTCAGGGATTCAGTCGATGGTTCAGATGTTTATTGATCATGGTAATTCCTTGGTTTTGCTATATTTTTGAATATGTTGTATATAAAATTGTGTTTCACTTATTATTATGAAGCAAACTCACACTTTGCTTCCATAGCTTGCTAAACATACAACTTTGTTACTTCATCAATAAATGTTGTTGGTGATTGTTCTTTTCAGAGGCTCTTCCAACTGGCTATCTTCATGAGGCTAAAAGCAGGCAAGAAAAAGAGCATCGTATTGTGCTGCCTCCGCAATCTAGAAAAATTCTTAATACTAAGAGTTATAGAACCGCATTAAATGAACTTACTCAGCTTATGCAGGTAAATTTAGACTTTTGTTTCTATATCCATTGCAAATTTGTATTTTGCTATAATAAAATGCCTAACTATATCTATTTTAAGTTTTTCAATAAAGCTAGTATCCCCTTATTTAACTCTGTTATAATTTTAATTTTATATAAAAAAATAATAAATACTTCCAGGTAGTATGTTTTGAAGATATTGAAATTTCTTTAAATAAAATGATAAATAAATAATTCAAAGTAAATTATATCATTTAGTGAAATAAATAATTATGCCATGTAACAATACATTTGCCACATGCATAATTCTAATTACATTGCAATTTTTATTCAATTTAAATGTTCATTCATATTAATAAATAAATTGTGTGAAAACCTTAAGAAATAGAATTTAATAAATATATTCTTTTTATTGATTTCAAAAAGGCTGATGCTGATGGTTTTTATCACATATATACCAAAGAAGAAGATATAAGACCAGTTGAAAACTTTTTTGAACGTGCTGCTCTGGATATGGGTAAATTTTTCATTATGATTATTTCAAGTAATTATAATAAGTAAGTGTATAATTTATTATAATTTTTTTAGGAGAACCCAACTTTGTTACTGGTTATTTAATTCATGACTATTTTGACTTATACTTTAATTTTGTGAAAATGGCTTGCAAAGATCAAGAAGCTGATTCAGTTTATCGAGCATTAATTAAAGAAACTATTTCTTCAGATCGATATGATATGAAAAAAAATTTATGTTGTGAGGTAATAATTCACATATTTTATTTCTAATACTTGTTCTTATGTCAACTTTGTGTAAAAGTATTTATTAATGTTAACATAATTTGTTTAATAAGAACATAATTGTGTCCTTTGCAGTACCATGACGAAGTGGATGCCTTATCACATTGTTCACTTTCAAAAGCTCGCAGATGGACGCATTACATTTGTGAAGATGTTTGTAATAAACTTAACATTTATATGATCGAAGGGTTTCATTTTCCATTGGGGGTGATGTTACACCAGGTTTTTCCTCAAGCTCAACAATCAAAAGAGGTAAACATATATATTTTGAAGTATATTTATAACAATTTATTTTATTTATGATTATTTTGCAGAATCATCAAGCACTTGTGCATGCAAACAAATCGTATCCTCTTCCTACTTTCAAGCATGGTGATGTAAGAAATTTAGAATGGCAAAAACAACGAGGTAAAGTTTTAAAAGTATTTACATTTTACAATTCTATTATTATATTTAATAACAGTTTCAGGAAAGCGGGAGAAGCATAGACAAGATCAGAGGCAGAGACCTATTAATGGTAATTTGAATTTCTCATGCTAATTAAAACTCGGATTTTTTATAATTATTTATTTTAGGATCTGCTACAACATCTGCACCCAGACAAGGAGCTACTGCATCATGTACTAAATTAAGCAGGGGTGGTGGTCCACATAAAAGTTTTGTTAAAGGTTTGTAGATAGTATTACATTATGTATATTATATCAATAATTACATTGCTGCATGCAATACATTAATTGTAAAATAATTCTTTAATAATAATCAATATTTTACCATAAACGTTTATTGATGCACAGATAGAGAAAACAGTTCGAGCAGTGATGAATTGGACTTACCGCATAATGACATTAATTATGCTAGATTGATTAAGCCATGGGAAGCTGCATTATCTGCTAGAGGCAAGTATTTTTTTCATTTTTGCGCAGCTTTTCTATTTCAGATGCTATATTATATATACACACTAGCAGATCCGGCAAACATTGATTGGAGGAAATATTTGTAGGGAATTCTATATCAAAATTTATTTATTAAAATTGATTTTTTATTAAGTTGATAATTTGACTAAGGATTATTTTGAAAAATTTTCATTTTTCATTATTTAAGCTTTTTTATAAGCTCAGTAAAACCTCGATAAAAATTTATTGAAAAACTGTTCGCAAAAAAAACATCAATTGATTGATTGAAAAATACATAGTTTTTGGAAATACAATTTAATTTAGGCTTTTCTATAAAATAAAGAAAGTAAATTGAAATTTTGTCTCATCTTTTTGTTCAGATGTGGATCCAACATTAAGAAATGAAAGTACAGACGACGAAGGTATTCAATTAGCAGACGAAATGCTAGAAGCGCTGGATCTTACCCGAGAAGTACCATTACGTAATAAATTCCCTAAGAGAAGAGGTGGGTCTAATGATTCCTAAAATAAAAGCACAACTAATTTTGCTGCTTTAAATTATTAAAATAAACAATTTGTTCATTGTTTTATATCAATCATAATTCAAATAATATCTTAAATAATTATATAAATTAGTATATTATTGTTGTTTTATAGAAGAAAATTCTTTACATTGTTTATAATATGCACTGGAAAAACTTAGGATTTGTTAAGAATTTGTAATTATTTCAATAGTTACCGAATTTTATTCTTTGATCTGATTTGATATAAAATACAGTGAACATATTGTTTTGTATAGTTTCAAGCCTTATAATTTATTGTTTGTGTTTATTACATGATCTTCACAATGCATTTTATATATAACGGTCAAAGCCATTAGATAAACTTATTATTAACTTACTATTTTTAAATGTCAAAGCTTTTCTTTGACTTTCAGTAGCCTTTGTTTATATGCACCAACATTTTCTCTGATTCTCCATTCATATTTTACTGATACAGTAAATTTTCATAAGTATAAAAGAAAATTGAGGATCATATTTTAATTGATAAATTTTTTTCCAAGGAACTACTTTCGTAATAAATTGTCCATAGAATTATTTTCTCCTTAATTCTGCAGACCCTTTTCATATTGATTGAATGTCTTTTCAGTTAAAATTGCTGCCAATTTTGATAGCAAGATGGATTAACACCTGTGATAACAAAAACTTACCGTTTTGTTTTTAATTGAAAGTTTAAAGCAAAATACTAATACATACCTACTATAAAATACTTTAAATGATTAGTTTATGCAGTATTTTAGTTTATTTGCATTTTATGTGCCGGATTCAAACTCTGTTAGCACTTTGTTGATGTCCTATAAAGAAAATGTTTCTATTAATAAATTTTATACTCATCTACTATGTTTATTTCATTTGCTGTTTTTATTATATTTTTGAAATATGCTTGTTTTTGATAATTTGACTGTGAAAATGTTGTTTGTGTATTCATGAACAAACAACATGCATGTTTCAGCTTATTCATAGTTATAGCTATTTATGATATTAGTTTTGAAGTTCATTTACATTTGATAATGCCATGAAAAATTTTATCACAAAATCGAAATTAATCCACTTTCATGATATTAAATATATAAGCAATTTTTTATTACTAATTACTTTTTTCCACATCTTTGTATATAGTAAAATTCGACATTTGATATATAAATTTTGAAAAAGAAGTTAATTATTATGTATTAAGTCTGTGATTCTACTTACACTTATTAATTCTTGCCTATTCCAATGATCGGAGTACTTTGCCATAACGGATTCTAAAACACGATACAATTTTTCAAGACTCAAAATGTTGAAGCCGTTACTTGTAACCTGAATTTGAATGAAATATTTTTTTTAACACCATTCATTCGCAGAATTATTGAAATATTTACCTGAACAATTCTTAGGAAACATTTTTTCAATTCGTTTCTATCTATATGAATTTTTCTGTTAGCACGATGATCTGTGGAAAACGTCTTTGGTTATTATTCCATTCATTTAAATAATTTTTTATAATGTTTATCAATTTTTATTTAGGCAATAATTCACTTATGAATTGTAAAATCGTGTTTTTTTTTTAACACATGGAGATTTTTATTACTTCAGCCTGTGGAAAAAAAATTGCTTTGGTGATTTTATTTTCGATTTTATCCGAGTTTGAAGAGGTGACAAATAAATCTCTGATAAAATCTGAGTAACTATAAAGTGAATGAATACTAATATTAAAATTAGTGTGAATTTAAATTTAATTTTCGTTAGGTATGTTTAGTTTTCTGTGACGAAGTATTACCTTTTCTCCAACACGAACAAATTTCTTGACCACTATTACTTTTGGCTTTTTTGCTTTTATTTGTACAATTACAATGGGGCGATTTGTTATATAATTTTCGGTTACAATCATTGAATTCTTGAGATTTTATCTTGCATTTAGATTTGTCGGTATTATTTATGATTTCTTTAGAATCGCAACTTGAGCTCTTTTTCCGATTTCCATTGAGTACCGTAGGATTTAATAATAAAGTGTTTCTTTTTCTACCAAGAAGCAAATTTTGGAACTCAGATTTCATCGCATCTTCTGTGAAAACAATGTTTTATAATATAAATATTACAGGCTTATGAGAAGTAAATAATTAGAGATAACTTTAGAACCTTGCAAAGTTTCGCCAAATTCTCGATATAGAAACAAATGTTTCTATTAAGTTAATATTTACCTAAGCAAGAAAACTTTATTTTCTGGCTCGAAATTTTCTTTAGAGCTATGGTTTCAACAGCAAAGTTTCCTGAAATGGCTCATAGAACCAGATTGCTCATTCTCAAGTTTTTATATGGAACTTCAATAAGTATAAATGATGCATATTTGCACAAATTTGTAGAAACCAATCAATTTTTAGAAGTTCTTATAGATTTTTTTTTCAATTGAATTCAATTTAAATTAGATTTATGTTAATGCAACAATATAATATGATTTATGTGTATTTTGGCTTTAGTGCAGTCTGTTTATTACAATAAGCCGCAAGTGGAGTTATGTTTAACCTCTGTATTCCAAACACAAATAAACAAACATATGAAGAATATTGCTATAAACTAATAAATAAACTTACTGTCAAACAATTCGCTCTCGATCAGACACGTGTTTGGATTGCACCCGGATTTTGCCTGATTTTGTGCATTTTCCATGCACATAAGGCTAAATGTAGAGGCTCTTGCTTTTCCCACATTTTCAGACCTCGTTTTGAACACACTCGGGGTCAGGGTCATAATGCCATTGAAAAGAGGCGAGAAAAAATCACCTCTGTCTAATATTGATGGATTGGTAATTTTTATTACTATGTTCTCCAGGGGATCGAAATGATTGGATAGCTGAATGATAAATATATAAAAAAAAAATTAATTAGTTAATATTTTATTTATTATATTATGTAATGAATACGAAGACATATTTTTTTATATGCTTAGTAGGGTAACAGAAGATTATTTGCATTAAAATATATCAAATAAAAAAGCATAAGAACCCTTTAAAAACCAAAAGCCTTCAGATGGATCACTCCGCAATATTTGTTAGTATTTGGTGACCATCATAGGCACTTTAATTCTAGGTGTTAAATTCTAGGCCATACCTCTGTGAAAAGTTTTAACGTGTTAAGAAATGAGTCAGAGAGTCATGGTTTAAAAAACTTAGCCAAAATTGCAAGACAACCTAAATCTGTTGTTCTTTAAATCTTATCTTATTGCAACAGGGCAGTAAGATAACATAGCAAACTTATCCGATAATAAACTTATGCATATATTAATAATTATTAATATATTAACTTACAACTTTTGGAAGTTCAGTAGTTGTTGTTATCAATATTAACAAGGGCATGTAGGGATCCATACTTTGTATTGTTTGGACAAATACCATGCGCGTAGAATCATCGACAACGTCCCACCAAGATCCTAAGTTTTTGATGTATAATATTCCTGGAATTACTGTTTTTGCAGCATCAAACACCTAAACCGATAAATAGAAAGATAATTTAATGCCCTAGATTTAGAATAGATAACTGTGGGGAAGGAATCAAAATAAATTTCATTATATACTTATTAATATTTTCTAAATATTTATTATTGTATTACTTTCAAACAAGCTCCTTCAGTAGACATAGATTTTCCATAAATTGATGATACATCAAGTATAGTACAGGGCATGTGTTCCAATCGGTGAAGTAATGCTGGAGCTATCCTCTCATCTTGGGCTTGGCCAACTCCTCCTTGTAAAATAATGTATCTTAAATGCCTTTTTTGGGAGTTTAATGAATATCTAAAAGAATGAGTAATTTTTTCAAGACCACCACCTTTCAAATGTGGAAAGTTAATCAGCAATGGTAAGAATAAATAAATATACTTAATATTTATACTTATAACTTGGTTCCATAAAATGTGGGCATAGTAGATACAGGGATTCGAAGAGATTGTCCACGAACTTCTTAAGCAACGGTTGCAAATAAATCGGCAACGGTTGGGCCATCGTCTTTTGCGTTCTAAGCCAACGTGGCTTCAGGGCCCCACAAGCATTTATGAAATCTTCGGGCACAATCTGTAAAAGAAATATTGTTTAATAGAAAATATTTTTTTTTAGATATTATAAGTGTTATGAATGCATTTGCTGTTTGTTTTGTGTAAAATAGTTAAAGGAAATCTTATTGCTCACGCTTTATTATGCACGAATAATCATTTGAATGTTTGAAGTGAACGAAATTACAATCCATAATTTTTAAAAATTTTTAATAAAATAGTACATTGTAGCTAAATTGAACGTAAGCAAGTAAAATTGAACTAATTTTTAAGTGAGATTAATTTATATTTTGGCTAATTGACTTATATGCTACAGTAAAAAATGGCAAGTATGTATTGATTTTATCTTAGTTTTATTAACGCCAAAGTTTTACGTTTTTAATAATAATTATAATAATTTACTCATTGTTAATCTATAATTACTTTTTTTTAGGTAAAGGCAGGAAACGTTAAATATAAAATAAACCTCTAATTGCGATAAAATACGAGGAAGACATAAAAATGATTAATAATATTAAAGTAATAATAATAATAATTTATAAAAGTTTTAAATGTATATTTATATTTTATAGAATGTATATGTAGTATCTTATTTTTATGTGATTATGAACTGTGCACACTATATGCTTTTCGTTTAATTTTATGGATCTAAATTATAACTAAGGCCCTATGATATAAATATATTTTATTTATGCCAAAACGAACTATGCATATGACTCAAGCCAATAGGCAAGATTAAGATTACAATCTAGGATTGATTAGGCATTAAATTACTATACTTTCATATTTTTCAGTTGTGTCTTTCTACTTGATCCATTACTTTCTAAATTAATTGGTTGATTTCTTTTGATGCAAGAGACAACTGCACCGGAACATATAGATTTTAGATCTGCTCCATTGCATCCAATGGTCATTTCAGCAATTTCTTGGAGTAGAGCATCCGAGGGCTTGTCGGCCCATTCCCTGACTTGCACCTAGGAGAAAAAATCTACATTTATCAAACATGGAGAATATCAAATATGTAATGAAAAATATTCTTAAAACAGCCGAAAGAAAAAAAAAATAGAAAAATTATTTGAAAGCCGAATGAAATGGGAAAAAAGTTTATGGTTTGCATATATATTAGTCAAAACTTGGTCTTTGCCGATATTTTCTCAAAAATCGTTACACCGATTTCAAGAATTTAGAAGCCAATTAGCGAAGCTTGATAAAGACTCACCGCCCAAGCCATTTCTTGATAATTAGCAGGTAAGTACATAAGTTTTTGTCAATGTTATTACCAAAAATCCTGAATCGATTTTGGAAATTCAAAAATTTATTTAAAGATATCAGCTAGCAATCATGCTGAATAGTTTTTGGTAAAGAACGGCTGGATAAGGTAGAAAATACATTTTGTATAGCAAATACGTCAAAATATATTAAAGTAATGTAAGTTATTTACTTTTAAAATTTCAAATCTCGCTGTCAACGATGGCAGAGGAAAGTACAGTTCACGATCAAAACGTCCTGGTCTTCTTAGTGCAGGATCTATTGCGTCCAATCTATTTGTTGCTCCAATAATGATCACCCCGCATCTGAAAAAAAAATTAGTATATTTAGTTTTTTTTTTAAATTCATTAGTTATACAATTTAATATTTTTTAATTTGAGCTTTGATAATTTATATCAAAATGTATTTTTGAATGTAGGTAGCAAACCAGACAAGTGCTACGAAACTCTTTTATTTATAATGTGATATACGAGGTACACTATACTACTTAAAAAAAAAACTACAGAATTCTTCTAATAATCAGGAATGATTTAATTAAATAGTGATGAATTTAATTAATTATTTATTTTAATAATTATAAGAAAATTTTATAATTATATATAAATTATTATTTACTTATTATTCAAGCCATCCATTAATGATAGCAATGTTGCTACGATGCTAATGTGTATGTGATCATTTCTGGACGATCTTATAGGAGCTAGCCCATCGAGTTCGTCAAAAAATATTATTGAAGGTTGATTTTTTTCTGCCTGAAATGATAGTTATATTTGTAATATTTATTAAAGTAATGATTCAACAACTTTTAATTTAAAAATATTCACTATGTTTCTTATAATTCTACAAAAATTACGAAAAAAACATTGACTTATGTAAAGGAGCATTGGATTTGTAATAAAAATATCTCGCCAAGTTTTTGTTCAAATAATTATATCTGTTCAAATAATTATGTCTGCCCGAAGGCAGGTCCATGGTATGAGAGCACCACCAAATCAATGATTTTCTTCCCTTGTTTATTATTCCATTTTATTATCATTAATAAATTAAAACGACGTATCCTGAGAGATAATAAAGTTATACTCTTTCAATAGCAAATTGTAATAAAAACCACTTCAGGATAAAATTTGGTTGCTCTCGAATATAGATATTGCAGAAATTCTTAAAAAAAACTTTCTATATGATATTAAATTCATTGATAAGGTGAGGATACAAAATATTGGATCTACTATCAATGACCAAAAATCTATTAAATTTATTACTAGAATATAATAACCAATGCAAAAGCGTTTCGCAATTTCTGTTCACTTTCTCCAACCCATTTGTCGAGTATGTCAGCGCCTTTGTGCGAGTAGAAGGTAACTTTTCCACCAGCCTCCTTTAGACATTCACCAGCAAGAGCTCCTGCTACTAGAGTTTTTCCAGTACCTAAAATTGTTTAAACTTGATTTGATAAACAATAATTGCTGTAATGCAAATATTAAACCAACAGAAGTTAAAAAAATATACTTTTGACACTATTATATTACATTTAACATTCCTCATTTATTAACCTGGTGGACCATGAAACAATACACCTCTTGCAGGTTTAACTGAGAACATTTCATAAACATCTTCGTAAATCAATGGAAACAATATCATTTCTCGGAGAACATCTATCTGTTCACAGAGACCTCCTACATGAGAGAATCCATATGGATAAGATGATGAAGTTGAAGATTCTGGATATTTTCTTTTCCTGGATTTGGAACCATTCATTTTGAACTGGAGGGAACACATAAAAGTATGATTTTATTTGAAAATCAATTTTTGTGAAGGTATTTTTTTATTAATAATGTTCTGTACTTGTCTCTAGTATTTGTTACTTAATTTAATATTAGTTTTTCAGCATATTATATATCAATATCATCCAACTTTGAATATTTAACTCACCTATTGATTTTGCTTCATTTAACTATAGATTGATTACATAATTTAATTTGAAGATGAAAATTTGCCTATCCCTGCGATCTTTAAATTTATTAACTATGTGAAATCACAAAACATAATTTTGAAAAATATATTGTTTTATTTGACATGGAAATAATTTGACATTAAGTTGAGAACTTGATGATTATTTTAATTAGTTTTAATATTATTTTAAATAATTCTATTAATTATTCATAAATAGACACCATCTTTTTATTTAGGTGCTACATTAACTAACAATAAAACTTAACTTACTATTAATTTATTTCAATTTTTTTTATTAATTTCAACCTGTTTCTAGCGAAAATTTAGCAAACTCAGCGATCCCAAGCGAGAAGAAGCGGCTAAACCGATTCCAAAAATTTAAAAGGCGTTTGATGTAATTCGATAGTCAATATTGCGTAACGATCAGCCAAGCCGTTTCTTTGTAATCAGCAGAAAAATATAAAATGGTTTGTCCACGTTTTAGCTCATAAACTTGAATTGATTTTAAAAATTCAAAAACTGTTGGAAAGATATTGATTGCAAATCGCGTTGGCAAAGTTTGGCCTATCCTCTGTAATCAAATGTTGAATTTTTATTTGACGGTTTTGATAGAACTTTGTAAGACGACAGATTTTATAGTGTGAAATCACATACTAAAATATCAGATACCTAGCGGTTGAATTGTAAAAAATCTAATGTGATTCTAATCAGAATCCAATTGAATTTATATAATTACAGATTTAATAAGTATGGTTCAAAGATATCAATCAAAAATCATTTTTAATGAATGCAAAATCATATAAAAAAAATTTAATTTTCAAAAAAGTCTTTTTTTTTTCAAAAGTTTCAAAAATCCAAAAACCTCATTTTTTCTCAAAGTTTTTAAAAAATGTTGAGCCTTCTTTTTTTAAAAAAAAAGAGTGCGCGTAAGGATCACGCGCGATTGAAGTAAAACTTATTTGCTACTTTAGCAAATTTTACTCAGAAAAATAAATACATCATATATCAATTTTAAATATGATGCACACATTTATTAGTGTCAACCATTATACACATTTATATAATGATAAATTATAAATTATATATTTCTAATAGCATTAAAAATAAGCATAAAATTTAAAAAAAAGTCATACTTCAAATATGACATGATCGGTTTGTCATTGTAATTAGCATTTAGAAATGAACCTTCATTAGAAAAATGAAGTGATTGCTGATTAATAAATTCTTTAATATTTGTTCACACTAATAAATTCTTTAATATTTGTTGGATTATGTTAAACAACACCTAAACAAATATTGTTTTTGCAACTTCACTCATCATGTAATTGTGATTGAAGAACGTCATGTAATTAAAATCAACATACATTCATTGACTGCTTGTATCTTTTTTACTTTTTAGCTGGCGATATAATCTCATTCCTTGAACAGCTGTAATATCTGTCTTGCCTAAAAAATATTTTCTATTTTAATAACTTCAAAGATTTATAGAAACTACAAATAATATAGATATAATTTCTAGTCAATAAACTTACTAATCATTAATCTTATTAATCAATATTTTCAAGAAACAGTAACTTTAAAATATTTATTTATCTATGCCGATTTCCTTGTTGATATACGACGAAAGATCTCTATTCATACACGATGACTAATCACAATCGACCCGTATAGAAATGATATCATCGAGAGCGAATGACGAATCATTGGCACGCGACTCTTATCTTATCTTTTCTGCCGTAACGCACTTCCGTTGCATTTGTACGGATTTACACTCTAGTCGCGCCTAAAGAAGTTTTACTTCAAAAATTAATTTTTGGTACAGAAAGTACCAGCAATTTGCCTTAAGGCACAATGGACACGGGGTATTCTAATATTGTCTAGGGGCACGATGCAATGCACCCTTATTTATCTATGAAATGCACCACTAGTTAAATTTTAGTTCTCCCGACGCCCGCACACCATGCAAAGCTCCACCTGCGCACTCAGTTCTGCGCAAGCAAAACGCGGAACGCACCAACACACTGACATCGCGCAGTCTCGCTACGACTGTGTTAGTGCGAACATTCGATCTGCCGGACAGGTTGAACATCAAATCCTGCCTAAAATCACACAAAATATAATTAAAAGTTCAATTTACAATTAAAAAACATTTTTAAACTAAGCTTTTACCCATTTGTGTATCAATTACCCCCGTTTGTTGCCAAAATGAACCCCCGGTGATAGTACGCACGCGGTCGTAGTTTGACAGGTAAAGCCGGCGATTTGTTAAAGTTTATTACGAACAATAGTGTTGCGAATTAGATGAAGTGTTTTTAAATTAATTAGTTGTGGTTTTGATTGTTGAAAGTGATTATGTCAAATGACAATTAACAATGAGAAACTTAAAGGTGATTTTATGGTGGTGATCTTCTAGAAAGGGCACGAGGGACGCTGCAGAAAGTTAAGGTAGGACCTGGTTACGATTGTATTACATATATATATAAATATATTTGTTACGAGTCAAATCAATCATTTTGGCCAGGCAATAAATGTAAAAAATGAGAACTCATACATTTTTGTATCAAATTCATCTTACATATAACATTTCCATGTCACGATATTCGTTACCGTACTCTCCCGAAACTGCTGCACCGATTTTTACCAAATTTTATATCCGTATTCAGCAGGTTTGAGAATCGGCTACTCTCTATTTTTCATAACCTAAGTTATAAGGGTTGTTCATCTTTCAATTGTTTTTTAAATTTTTGGACTATTTCATTTTAAATAAGTACCAACCCTAAGTTTTAATTTTTTATCACCATCTCCCAATTTTTATAGCCATTTTTGCAGTTCAATCATTTTCTATTCTACATTCAGTCATATAATATTTTTGACTCAATATTAGTTCAGATTTTTGAGCTTAAAGAAAAAGCTTAAATCTTACTTTAAAAAACAATTTATTTGTATTAAGGGTTGTCCAACCCTACTACTTTTTTTTAATTTCGTGGTCAATTTTCTTCAATTTTTTTAATGTGGAATTGAAAAAGACATACTACTACTTTCACTTTACTTTAGTTACTTTAGAAATATTTTTATGGCAAAATGTTTGCCGGGTCAGCTAATATATATATGTGTGTGTATTTGTACATTTATATATATATATATATATATATATATATATAAATATTATAGGGCGAGGCACAAAGGTCCAGTTTAACTTTTTTACCTATTATATTGTGAAAACCAAACCAATTACCTCTCAACAAATATCAAATTTCAAACAAACAACTATCTGACTATGTTCAGAAAAACTCCTAGCTAATTCATTATTGCAGCAATATGTTTTTTCTGTTTAAAAAAATAGAATGATTTCCCCATGGGAGGTGTAAAATAGACAGTCAGGGTGCAAAAAGATCCATCATTTTATTTTTATATAAACATTTCATCAATGCGAAGCAGTTTAATTATTAGACTGAACAACAAAATTTAAAGAATCATAATCTAAATATGTATTTTCAAACATAATAAAGAAATAATTCTATCAACTCTTACTACTTCATAAATCTTGATTTGGTAGTTATTTCTGTTTAATTTACTAAGGTAGAGTGGGGCACAAAAGTCCAATTTGACTTTGAGCAAATATATAGTATAAAACTATACCAATAAATTACATATATCAAATAAACAACTATCTAACTATGTTCAGTAAAACTTCCAGCTAATTCGTCATTGTAGAAATCATCTTTGCTGTTTTTGAAAAATTTATCTTCTGGTCCTTCTAACCCCATAGGCTACTTCAAATGGTTAGAAGGCAAATAGGTGCAATGTCTTATTTTTGATTCTAAAAGAATTTTTCAAAATAATAATTATATTATTCAACCAATACAAACTATAAATTCCATGGGTACATTTTACATTATATACAAATGATGCTGTATATAACCTTGATCTGGTAATTTTTTAACATTGTTGGAGTTGGAGAGTTGGAATAACTATAATTTTATTTATCTCTCGCAAAAGTGCATTTTTCAACAAAAATTTCTTCTTTGTTTACTATTTTTATTGCTTTCATCTTTGCCTGGATAAAGGCTCTGTTGGTCCTTTTTACCCCATCCACGTATAAGCTTTTATAAAAGTTATACAAAAAAATTTAACTTAAAATTAAAAATATATTTCATGAAACTATTGAATAACGTATACTTAAACAACAGTGCTCACAACCACAGAAACTAACAATGAAAGAAAATACTTTTGTTATAGATTTTCAAACATTTTCCTTTATCCCCCGAGAGTAACTTCGTAAGATTCAAGGTTATACATTTTTTTTCTCTACTTTCAAATATTGTTGTTGGAAATCAAAATTTTTTTAAACATGATTTATTGTCGATGACTCTGTGCTATGTACTCATCACTTGTATAATATATATATATATATATATGTATATATGTATATATATATATATATATATATATATATATATATATATATATACAATCTCGTGACTTTAAATTATATATTACGTCGGCTTCCAATTTAATTTACCTGTGAATAGTGACTCTTTATTTCACTATTGTTTGAAGAGCAATCAAGGTGTACGACCTGCATCAGCTCTCAATGCCACTATGAAATAGGCAAATAAACGATTCTTGTACAGAAATGACGGCAGAATATTGATTTTCTTATTAATTATGAAAATAAGTACATATTCTGTGATGGTTGCTCAAATAAGGAAGGAAATTGTTGAGGAAATTGATGCACGATAGAATGTCATTAATATAGTATACAACTCAGAGTATAGGCATTACCTATTTAGTATTATATGAAC